AAAAAAAAAAAAAAAAAAAAAAAAAAAAAAAAAAAAGCATGCAGCTTAATATGTGCAGTTTACAAGATGTGATTAAAAATATACAGTGAACGTTTAAACAAAACTTATTACAGTAAAAGATACATTGCCACTAATCCCCTCAAAATCCTCCCCTCACTTCAAACACACCTATCCCATTGTTCTTGCCACTTTCTGAAGCAGCTCTGAGTCTTTATGACACAGCAAGAGTGTCTTTATGAGGCAGGTTCCAAAATACAGCGGATGTTGCTGCCTAGCACCATCCAATGGAAAGGCTCCTAAGAGCATTATCCTGGGTCCTCGTTCACTGCAGTCGTGGCTATGACACTGTGCATGTCCAGCATATCCACAGAAGGGAAATGCTTTGAATCAGCTTAGGACATCCAGCCAGCAACAGCGGTGCAGCTGAAAACACTCACGAAGGAGAACTCTCAGAAGGGCTTCAGAAAGCGGCAAGAACAGGACCAGAGATTTAGTTCAGCGGCACTGTGCCTTACAAGCACAAGACCCTGAGTTCAAACCTGTACCCCCCAAAAAAAAGTATTCAAGAAAAAACTGTAAATAGAAGGAAAAAATGGAAGCAAAGCTTTTGTACATAGGGAGGGGAGGAAAGGGCTTTAGGAGGGAATGGAGTAAAATAAAGAAAAAGGCTGAGAATTTAGCTCAGTGGTTCTGCTGCTTGCCTGGCAAGTCCAAGGACCCAAGTTCGATCCCTGGTACCAATAAATAAATAAAATGAAGTATTCACTGTATTTTCCCATTCCACAGTGTGCGTTATGTATCAGTCACCTTTAGGGATCAGTAAAAAAGTGAAGTATAACCTTTAGGGATCAGTAAAAAAGTGAAGTATATTTAATAAGCCCCTACCCTCTACTAAAATGCAGGACCTTTGTGTATTTTATCTACAGCCCTTTAACTCCATTACCTCTTCTCGATTTACAACCTGTCAGGTATTTTAATCTATTATGTTGTTGCTGTCATTTATGCAGTCACCTCCAGGCTCCCCGCCATTTCACTCTTTCCTGCAGCGAGCCGTCTCCACAGTTCTGTCACTAAGTCCCTCCCAGGCATTTTCTTCCTGAGGGCCTCCCACGGTGACCTCCCAGGCGTCATGCTGCCCTCACTCTCTTTTAGAAATATAAGTCAACTCAAAAAGTGAGTACATGTGGGACTGTGCTCGAGGCACGGGGCTGGAGCTCCGTGGTGTAGCTCAGTGCTCTCCTAGCACATGTGACACTCTGGGTCTTCACAGCAGCGATGCAGGAGAATCCTCAGGCCTAATGCAGCGGGCCCACTTCAGGAACCAGCGCGGGTTCCCGGGTCTATCTCAGATAACAGCAACGGCACAGAGGCAGGGACTGGAAGTCAGAGGCAATAAATCCGCAGCTGGCACCACCACCGTGCTGCTGCTCTGTTTTTGCAGCTTCATCCCAGGCAGTGCTTCAGGCCATGTCCTCTTGGGGTCATGGAGGAAACGTGCTGCTGACTGTGAGGGTCTAGATGAGCCTGCTTCTTCTGTCCCCCAAAGTCAGTGGCCAGGCCGGCCGTCACTCTTACCGCCTGTGCTCTGAGGGTCAGCCATCAAGGGGAGGGAGGTGGACCACGGGTTCTTCCTCTTCGCTGCTGGTTTCGCAGGGTGCGGCACACGCCAACACCTCCTTACTTTCCCTTGGCACTCACTGAGGCCAGTGAACATGCGAGCTTGTTTCTGGAAGCTTCCTGGTCATTCCTAGAACCCTGCTGCATCCCACTTGCTCTCCTTTCTTGTCCACAGCCCCCACTAGATAGAGCTCAGGCCTTCTCTCCTGCTCTGCCACATCCCTTCCACGTATTCAAAGAAATCTTTTGCTCTGTCTGGTCTTGATTTTGTCATTCTGCTCCGTCTTCCTGTGCACTGTGGCTCTTCTAATTTGTACCCAATGTGGAACCAAAGGGCTTCTGGGGATTGTGTTTTTAAGCTCTAGAATTCCTACTTGGTTACTTTTCAACTTTTTTTCCTTGTTTCTTAATATTCTCAAAGTTCTTTTTCTTTTAAAACCCTTAAGTACACTTGTTTTAAGATCCACACAGAATCACCCCACTGTTTCTGCCCGTTTGTGGTTGGTGCTGGGTTCCTGGTGTTTGGGGTTTACTTTCCCTACTTACTACTCCGGTGATCATTTCTGGGTTTCCTAAGGCCTAGGATGAAGCTGTTTTCCTGTGAGGCCATTTGGATTTCTTTGCTGGTTGCCTTGGGCATTACTGGTCTGGAACCATTGAAGACAGTTCCCCCCTGCGTTCTCTGGGTGCAAATCCAGAGGGTGCAGCCCGTTTTACTTCTCGGAGAACCTCCCTTCCTCACCTCCTCAGTTCCCAGACACAGACCCAGCCCGTGGGGAGCAGAAGGGCTGCGTGTGCTTTCCATCTCCGATGTTCCACCCGAGGCATGGCTGTGGGGCTGGACTCCCGACTCTGGGCTGCCGAACTTTAGCCCCTGTCCTAACCCAGCCTCCCGGCTCCCTGCCCTGCAGACGCCAGGGTCGCTGCCTCTCTTTCCCGCACTTCCTGGACTGAAATCTTCTGGGCTGGAAGGTCTGAGGGGTGGGTATGCCCGGAAAGCAGGTCCTCAGCCAAGTGGCTTCGGGTTCCCGGAGAGAGGCCCCATCACCCCTTCCTGAGAGGTTAGGGCCGTGGAGAGTGCGCTTGGGAGCCCTCTGGCGTCTATGCACCGCGCAGTTTGTGCGGACACTCAGCCCAACCGCGCAGCCAGGGCCCACATCTCCTCGGGAACCCACGGGGAAGCCTTTCTCCCGAGCCCCCGTGGCCCACCGCTCTCCCCAGGACTAGACCCGTACAAGTCACCTCGACCTCCTCCATGTCTCCCACCTCTGCGGGTTGGGAGCCGCGCTGGGCATGGGGAGGGCACCAGATTCCGGCGACCCGGGACTATACCCACGCCCAGCCGGACACCCGCGGTCAGGCCGCCTGGGTCTGGCG